CCAGTATCTGCAAAGATATACATTAATCTCAACTAAGATGTGATAAATCGAGTGTAAAAAGAGTTAGAAACGGACGACTGAGATGAACAAAAGATGGGAGATGTGATTCTTAGTTGAGCACACCATGTGGCTATCATGCACTCAATTTAGAATATCCAGATATCGTTCATTTACTGGTTTCAACCAGATAGTTGGAGCTGAATAGCTGTTTAAGCTAATCATCTTAATCTCAAACCACACTACTTTCGACTCCTATCCTTTCCCAAACTGACCTAGTAGTAAGATTCTCTCTTTCTTAAGTCTAAATAATAAACTGATGGTTAACTAAGGTAATCTATATTTAGTAGAGATAAGAAAAGGAAAAGCAATCAGGACAACATCCAACCATATTGTTACATGTCTGCTTCTAAATTCAATTACTGAATTAACATTGTTGATCCTGATAAACGAATTAACTTCCGGTGGCCGGTTTTCAGTAGTATGTATAAGTTCAACATGACAGAATTTGAATAAGACCCAGTGTTGTTTCGCCAAAGTCGTAGGACCATTTGTATTTTCTATGGTATTATCACAGTAATATATTTGATAGGAACACAATAACCTTACATAAAGCTCACTATGACTTAGCAGTACAATACATATCAGTGCTAGAAGTACTTAAGAAATTTATAGAATAAATAATGGTAGGTACATTACTACATAAATAATCTTCATTATTATTGCGAGAACTTATCAAAGTACGTTGGATTAATTTTGAAAACTTTTCATAAACTAACATTACGAAAATGAAGAGCCATAAGAATCAAAGAGAGACGAACAAAAAATGAGGAATTAGTCCTACGGGATTAGCTTTACGGTTACTAAACCAATTAATGACTATCGAATAATTTATTTCAAATATCATATTACTTAATCAATGACACTGTAAGATTTTTAAAAACCTTTTTCCCTTTTTTTATTTTTAAACTAGATTTTACAAGAAATATCAAATTGTCTTCACACTAATCCTCAATATCCCATCGTTATCATGCCTACTCCACAAATTTTGAATTTTTCAGAGCATCAACAAGCAACGGATAACAAAAACAGTAAAAAAGCACCACTTGTTTTTCAAATACCACACTCTAATTCAGTTTTTATAGGCCTTCCAGCAACTTCAGGGGTGAATCCACGGGTTATGACAGCCTCACCTACTAATGCTGTTATTGTATTACCGTCATTAACAACAGATCAACAGTTAACCCAACAATCCACATCACAACAACAACAACAAAATTGTCAGCATTCACCTAACACATATACACAACCAACTATTTTAACAGGTCCAAAACAAGGATATTTGTTAATTATTACACCGGACAATAAGTATGAATATGTACCACAGCCTTAACTATCAACAGAAACTACAAGTTATTGATGTTGCATTTACAGAACGATTCTTTGCCTGTATATTTATGTCAATAATAAAAACATATTAAATAATTATTATGCGCACTAACAATGAAATTAAATCATTTTATATCCATTATTACAGATGATGAATACGCAAGCAGAAAAAGAGGAATCAGCTGAATGGAAACTACTATTACTACTTTTTTATCTTAATATAACGGAAAATGTCATTTTCTTGAAATAAACAAAAAACGATCATCTCATCCCCGTGAAGATCTGACTTAATATTTTTAAGGAATAACGTTAAATCTTTTTAAGTATCTTTCGTCTTCCAGACATAATTAAATAAAAAGAATAAATCGTTATTTTAATTTTATATATGATTGTATAACAGATTTGGTATTCATATCGTATTGCTAGTATATGTTTTAATACAGCTGATCTACTCAATGATCAAGTATTGAAAAATGTTAACGTTCTCATTTATTTATCATTATTAGTTGACAACAAGATGATAGTATTAAAAAACGGCATATTATAAATTACAAAATATAAGCAGACGGTATTATATTCAATTACATTATCAGGTTTTACATTATTATACAGTAAGATTTATGTGAATATATGAAAACATCAAACTAATAATAATAATAATAATAATAATAATAATAATAATAATAATAATAATAATAATGAACACACACCGGCAAATAATGCGCAAGATGGGACGACATTTGTAGAACGTGTCCTCGCCACTGAAGTCGATGTTTCAAGATGGTGACACCAATTGAATTATCACCTCTGCGCCCAAACACACGATGCCGAACCTCTGCATTAATAACATGGTGTTGCCACTGGATGTTAGCAATCCTTCGGATACAACAATGATCAAACATAGAAAGTCGTCTAACATCCTCAACTCGGAGGTCAGGTATCACAAGCAGAGAGCAAAACTGCTCTCATCGACTTGTTATAGCTCCGAACTTTTACAGCCAAACTAACATCACGCTGGCGCCAAAGATAGCCCAGAGTGGCATAAGCCGCTCTGGCTTCCATTATACGTGCATCGATCTCATCACTCACGCCACCACCAGCACTTATGCAACTACCTAGATACACGAACTTCTCGACTACTTCTATCTGTTCACTTCGGAAGTGCAAAGTACATACCATACCTGCGGACACTAATTACCAACTGATTAAGTGCGGATTGCATGGCTTGGGTATCATTGCACAGTAAGACAACATCATCCGCACATTCAAGGTCCAGAAGTCTTTCTCCAGGCAACAGATGCACACCACGATTACTTACATCCATCAGAGCTGTTTCTAGGACGCCATTGATGGCAAAGTTGCAGAGGAACTGTGAGGTTGGGCAATCCAATCTAACCACACTGTTTGAATGGAACAATGGAGAGAGGTGATTGTATGCTCTCACTCTGTCTGTGATATTTGTATATAGAGCTTTCAATATATTAATAAACTGCTCAGACACACCATCCTCTGATGGAAATTTCCAGAAAACAGCCCCTTCCAACAAATCAAGGGCGTCCCTAATGTCAGAAAATACCACGATTGTCTGCCTGTAATAAGTATGACGGTATTTTAACATTTGGCGGAGGGTGTTACCAGGACAGCAGACCAGTTGAACTGCTCCTCGAAAAACTCTGCATATCGTCCAAGGCGTCGATAGATGTTAGTGATTGGCATCCCGTCATCTTCACAGATTGTTTCACTCACACCATAATTCTTGCTGCCAGTGGTTCGGATGAGTTGAAAGAGCTTCCGGTAGTTACCAGATGAACCTGATGCTTCCGAAAAATTGGCACGCTCCGACCACCAACCTTCTCGGTCCTCGAGCAAACTTTGTCCAATTCCATTACTTAACAGTTTTAACGTGTGGTTAAACTCAGGGTCACCTGAAGTAGATCGGCAGACTTCAATAAGTTGTAAGAAGCTTGAAGAAACCCAATGCTCATGAGCGCAACGTTTCGCCAAGCTGCAAGTGACTTTATTCGCCATTTTCATGGCATCATACAATTACAACCACCGATTATCTATACTTTTCGATGGAATAGTAGCTAGCCTTAAACCCAGCTCTGTTTGATATTTTGTTGCAACAGAAGCTGCAACCAATTTGCTGACGTCAATCAGTTTAGGAAGATGAATTTGTTGGTCACTAAAACGTAATGCAAGATTAACACAAACAAGGGCATTATCAGAGTCCAGATAGGTGCTCCAAAAGGAGCGGCATTCCTGTACACAACTACCCCAGCCGTAGCTGATTACGATGTGATCAATTTGAGTCCAGACTTGAGATAAAGAAAGAGGACGCCAGACAGCACATAGATGATGTCGTAGTTATCATTGGTTTGTATGAGGGCTGTGATACTGCCCGGGTGTAATTAACTACCAGGTTCGTGCAAGAAGAGAATAATTCCTAAACTTGCCTTCGACAAGTACGGTACAATGAAGTTTCGCTGTAAAAAACTTGATACGTTAAAACAAAACTGCATTTTGCATACATGAAAAACTAGAGAATGAACTGAATTTCATTAAAGCAATATAAAACTTAACTAGGTTCAAGACTCTGGTCCCAATCAACCCTTGAACCTCACCATCATCTGCTTAAGTTAGTGTAACTTTATGAATTTTTAACCGGAAACATACTGCGCATAGTTAGCAGAGATGGATAGTGGCTAGCGCATAGGTTACGTTTCATACCATTCGACGTTATGTCTTTTAATGATCATCACGCTTTTTATAGTTACTTCAAAATAATGTCATTAACCTATTTGGCATGACATATTTACCGGTGACTTATTGTATGAAGCATTATATCGCGGGTGAATATGTATAAATAGAAAGAGATTATTCAGATTTTTTACCAAGTGATAAAAATCTACCAATACCTTACATACATTAGTCTCTAAATCGTCTCAACAGTTCAGTATTATATAGCTATTTACAATCCAATTAGAATATAAATGACTAGGAAAAGCAATGGCCGTATGGTATAAACTGATAAAAACTATGTCCTGATATCTTATGTTTTGACAACAAAAACTCAACGCGTGGCAAGATCAGCTTCTCAATTCTCACGAAAAATTTTGCGTCAAAAGGACCCAGTTGAGGACTTTATTTTTTATTTTATTTAAACGCATAAATATTGGTACAAAAAGCACCAGATAAATATGCGCCTCACAAATCTCATTTGATTTGTGTGAAGGCTGAGATACTGCCCAGGTGCCCAGATTGAAGCAGGTGGTTTTCTTAGGAGCCACACCCGGAGCCTTTGACCTAAAAGACTGATCCACAAGGCAGTGGAGCGTCGTGAGGAGATGCAGTCCCATGGTAGCCGGTGACCAACAATTGATTCATACGCCATTTGTTCCCTCAAGATCCTGGAGCCCTTGTGCACCATTGGTTTGGAATCAGGGTTTTCCAACTCCCCTAGGTGGACCCTCCATGTCAACCAATCCGGTTAAAGCACCGGACATTCACTTTTCGTCCTCTCACTTTCGTAAACAACACCCCCGCCACGAGAAGGCAGTGAGTAGGACTTCCCTAGCAGAGGCTATATATTCGTGTGGCCATGTTAGAGCATTTCGAGAGGGAGAGCGGACTCTCCCACTCTCGGCAGTACCAGGGCATTTGGGGGCTACAAATTCAAGCATCTATAATTCGCATTGGTGGTGAAAAAACAGGAAACACCACTGTTTAATACTGAATCATCTAGTCAAACATTGATGAACAAACAAAAACATGGTTTAACAAATCTGCGGAATTCTGAATGTGTTCAGTTAACACGTGGCAAGGCAAACAGACTTAAATTCAACATGTACCATTTTCTAACATATTCTTTATGACATCTATTGTTTATACTAAGGATGCATAGTCAAAAAAAAGAAATTTTGTAAAACTAGTCTTTATTAGTTTTAAGTTGTGCAATTAGACCAGCTCTTTGGGTTTCTGTAACATATTCAGTTAGATCTGGAGACATGAAATCAACAGCTTTCGGTATCCGGAGATAATTCAACACCTTTCCTTTACTCATACGTAAATCAGTTGGGTTTTTCGGTTTTCTAAAGTTGTAACACTGGCAATAAAATAATATCATACTTAGCTGAATCTTTCTGAGCTACAGATGCATAACTTGGTGGTCCTGTTGTACTTTTGGACAAATTTTTGTAACTTATGATTATCCATTGTCAGTAATGTTAAAAAAACATACTCAATCTCCACATCTTCACATTCGACCTACAATGGTTACTTACGATTTAAAAGCTTACAGATTCATCACTGGAAACTTCTTCATCCATTAGATACGGCATGGTCTAAAATGTTAAGTACCATATTTAAAAAAAGAAATGTCATAAAAAACCAGAATATGTAACTCAGAAATAAATTTCTTACTTTTGAAATATTCTTAGCGAACACCAGATGAGGTGAAAAAAATTGTATGACAAAATATTTTTTATACCCACATTCGGTCAGCAACGTCGGGTATAGCAAAAATTTTGGTGGACCTAAAAAGCTATGTCCACATCAGTACCAAAAAAAAGTAAATCGATGAAATGAAAATCAAATGAGTCGTAGTATCCATGAAAGGAAAAAAAATACTACATACAGAAGATATAATTCGATAAAAAAACGGAAAAATAAAAGTTGGGAAAGATGAATTAGAATCTTAAAATATTGGCAGCAATTCAATTTGCTACATTTTAGACTGACACTCACATCCTTTTAATAAACCAAGGAAATTCAGCTGTCTTATTCCCCATTTCCAAGTTAACCCATGCGGTAAAACCCAAAGCAGTACTGACTGGACGTTAGTAAACACACGGTTAAAGATTTCTTTCAGTTCATGGGTTTAATAACCACCCAAAAATTAGTGAGATTACATCATTATTATTTTGGGTACTTCATAAGTTGTCAGGTAACCTTAGGTATCCAGTATTTATTTATTTAAACACAAATATTGGTACAAAGGGGCACCAGATATATATGCGTCACACAAATCTCATTTGATTTGTGTGAGGGCTGTGATACAGCCCAGGGGCCCAAACTGAAGCAATTGGTTTTATTAGGGGGCCACACCCGGAGGCTATATACGCGTGGCCAAGTGGAAGCATCTCGAGAGGGAGGGCGGACTCTCCCCATTTCGAGCGTACCAGGGCAAGAAACGTCGATAAAATATACCAGAAAAATGATCGACAATATGCGTAAGGGTTGGGTTTTTTCATAACGAACTGAGATGAATTATTCTGCAGAATCCTAGAATCATGGTACAATCTTAATCCCTGATAAAACACTCCACTAGTCTGACTTTGACTTCTCATGATAATCCGAAACGGCTAACATCTCTGGAAATTTCGAGTTTATACTTCATATTTACCAAATGACACTGAAAACTCAGTTGCTTGGCTCATAACTTCATTGAAAAGTTAACTGAGACGAGAGTATATCAAACTACAAACTAACACACCTACAGCCAAATTTCATTACGACCCCGGATCTAGACTACTGAAAATGAAAGAGCATAAACTACATGTGACGGATCGCGTCTATCTGAAATGGTTCAAATGGTTGTGGACGAAATAGAAGAAGCTTTCGCTTAACGGGCTTTCTTGTCTAGTAGGAGTGGATAACCCATACCTCCAGGCAGGAACCTAGGTATATTGACGATATAAGAGGAAAAACCATAGTAAGATGTTATCCTAAGCTCTCAAGACTATGTCAAGTTTCCTCTTAAAAGACTCTTGGGAAGTCGCTTGAAATAGCTTAGTACTTTGTGTACGTGCAGAATAACAAGACGGTTGGAAACAAACTAGAAAGGTGAGACGACCAACCGACAGGCGCAAGAAGTGTGCTTACATTTATCAAGAGAAGCTATAGATAACAAACAGCACGAAAACAATACCAAGATCAAGGCACGGTAAAAAGAAAAGTCAGCTTTCGAAGCCCCCACCGTTCTTTTTTAACGACCTTGAACTGCGTGACAATAGGCGGTCATTCCGTATTTCCATTGCTGAGGGTTTGCATGAATATCAGGTTTTCTGTTATATAAGTGGTCTATTGCTGCGGTAAAACCACAAATTCATTGTGAAGAACATCGATTTCGGTTTTTATGTCTTGTAGTACACACATTGAACCAATTGTTGCTTCGTAACTTATCAATCTTCTAATTTTCAAATGGTTTAAATAGTTGTGGACGGAATAGAAGAAGCTTTCGCTTAACGGGCCTCCGTGTCTAGTAGCATTGGATCACCAATACCCTCAGGCAAGAACCTAGGTATATTAACGATAATAGAGAAAAAAGCAATTGGTAAATCATAATAATATGACGTCAACCTTCCCCTTGCGATCAAGGATGGTTGTCCGTCTATCCACCGCAGTCAGCAGGTTGGTCACACAAGAATGACCCTTTCTGAAATCATGCTGTTGGGATGAGAAGAACTTTAGGGATAATAAGTGTTCATGTGTACCGCCGTATATTAGGGACTCCATAATTTTATAAGGTATGGAGAGAAGGGCCAACGGTCCGTTGCTTGAAGATTCACTGCGTCGACCTGCTTTGAAAATTGATGTGATGTAAGCAAGCTTCCAAATTTAGGGCAGTTTGCCTCGGCTTACCGAGTGGTAAAACTTCACGCTAAGTGGTGCCGCCAGGATTGGTCGAGGTTGTCCTGTTCACTTTTTCTGGAAGCAAAAGGAATCGCGAGCAGATGTAACCTGGATCGTGGATAGATTGTGACATGCCAGTGTACTTGAAGTCTTTTGCTACTGGCATACATAAGACGAGCTTTTACAAGTAAGATCGATCCATTGAGGAATATAAACTGTATAGTTCATCGTATTCATAGACATTGCAGTCGATGGGAGATAGTTAACACTCACACCTCTCACAATAGCAACAATTTCACTACCCGGGCTAGGCAAACATCATGAAGATACCACCAGTATTGTAGTTTGACAACACCTTACTAGTAACACCTATAATCGAATCGTGCCCATTCAGCTAAAATCGGAAGTCAGAAGTGAAGAGGTTGGAAGATATATTTGATGCGATATCAATATATCGAGAAGCATTTGATCTAATCTGGCTAATGATCGTAGGAGATGTTTCCCACGCCGTGCTGTAACGTGATCTGTAGCGGATGTATGACCGAACGCTTTCAGTTAAATGAGTCCACTAAAACTAATGTGGTCAGCATCCAATGTCGAACACTTACAGAGCTATTGATTCTGGGGATTTATTTACAGCTACAGTAATAAGTTTCTTTTTTGTTCGATTTTAAGATCATATCTGTTGTGCCAAAATACCGCTTTCTTAATTCAGAGGCATTTACCGGTCATGACTGTTGTTTTGTTGTTTCAGATCGCCTCTGCTTCCAAGTGAACGTCTATATATAAAGTTCTACAGATTAGATACCAGCAATCTTAGTCCGTTATCACCAAACCTTACTGCACTTTTGTTGTTTACTGAAGATAGTTTTGGAGTGGGTGGTTTTTAATTCCCGTGTTTTATTTCCACACGCAAAGTATTTTCATGTTCTCATTCAATGGTGAGACCATAATTTGTGATGAGTCGTTCTCCCTAGTAGTTTTATATGTCAACGCTCGTAGTGTAAGACATAAATTCTACGAACTAGGAGCATTAGTGGGCAAATTAAAGCCACTCATTGTAGCTGTGACGGAAACTTGGTTAGTCCATGACTTCGATATTACCCCAGAATTATCCGGATACCATTGTTTAAGAAGTGATAGGCATAGATGCAGGAAAAAAAGGTGGCGTCCTTCTATACATAGCCAATAATATAAGTATCCGCTCCGCTGTTTGCGAATACCATGAAAGTGGAACTAGTGAAGTCATCAGCTGTGAGCTCACTATCGGATGTTGTACATTTTTACTCGATATCATCTATCGCAGCTCAGTCTGCTTAGCTGATGACTTTATTTTAGAGCACATTCGGTTATGGAGTGCAAATAACAGTGCTTCATATTAGGAGACCTTAATGCACCTGACATTAGTTGGACTGAAATGACCACGAAATGCTCTATAAACTCCTTTGATAGCAGGCTCTTGGAAACAGTAATGGAACATGCATTAGTACAGCATGTATCCAAACCTACACGTTTTGGTGTAAACCAAGGTTCCTCTCTGTTGGACTTGGTAATCACTCATGAGACTGAGGATATTTCCAACCTAAGTATTCTTTCCCCGTTAGTAAATAGTGATCACGCTGTTTTATCATTCACGTTTAGAGCTAACGACGTGATATACGATCAGATTAAGCCTCGCCCAAACATGTGGAGAGCTAACATACCAGCCATTCAGGAGTGTGCTGCTAGGATAGATTGGTCAGTAGATACTAGCTAATCAGTTGAAGAGGCGTGGTCTATATTTAAAGGCAAGTTTAGTGCAGTAACTTCCCCGTTCATACCATACTTAGTACCACGTAGACCGAATAATAGTCCATCATGGATAAATAAACAAGTCAAGAAACTTCTTAGGCGTAGGAAAAAGCACCGGAATATGTTCATCTCTACTGGCTTAGAACAGTACAGATCCAGTTATTGTAAGATTAGAAATACTTGTAAAGCGTTAATTAGTAAGACTAGACGGTCCTACGAAAAACGATTGGTTAGGGATTGTAAATATAGTCCGAAACGTTTATTCTCGTATATAAAGAGACGGACTCAGAGAAGTGATGGAATCCCATCACTTTTGATACAAGAAAATCCGTTAATTTCAGCAAGAAATGATACGAAGAAGCCGAAGCTTTATCGGAATATTTCAGTAAAGTCTTTTCTACCAATAATGAGAACCGACGACCTATTCACTGCGATTGTAGCATCTTGCTGATGGACCCTGTAATTATTACGAAAGATACTGCTTTAAGACTACTTCAACATCTCAAACCTGATAAGTCCAGCGGTCTTGATGATATTCATCCTAGGGTTATGAAAGCCCTATCAGATATTGTTTGATATGTCCCTGCGGCAGTCCAGATTGCCAAGAGACTGGAAAGAAGCGATAATCAGTCCGGTGTATAAGGTTGGGAGTAGAGATTTAGTTAGTAACTATCGGCCCGTCAGCTTAACTAGTGCAGTTGTAAAAATACTGGAAAAAATTATTAGGATGGCTGTCATAAACTATGTGGATGGACATAATCTTTTATCCAAAGAACAACATGGTTTTCGGAAAGGCCCATCATGTTTGACAAATCTCATTGCAGGAGAAGATCGAGCTGAAGCTAAAGACCGCAATATTCTCGTAGATGTGATCTTCATAGGTCTAAGTAAAGCCTTTATAAGGTTTCCCATTCTGGTCTTTAATTAGAACTGGAAAGTTTTGGAATTCGTTATGCAGTCATAGACTGGATAGGTGACTTTCTTCATGAAAGGAGACAAAGGGTAAGAGTAAATGGGGCTCTATCATCGTGGGAAACAGTAAAAAGTGGAGTCCCCCAAGGCACAGGTCTCGGGCCTCTTCTCTTTTTACTTCATTTAAATGAATTACCAACTGTAGGTAAGTCATCCGTCCTACTCTTCGCCGATGACATAAAGATTTGGAGACCTATATATAGCATGTCAGACAGAATAGTATTACAGGAAGATCTAAACTCATTAGTGGCATGGATGAACGGGTGGTCACTGGAAGGTTATCCTAACGAAAGTGTAGTGATGCAACTAAATAGCTACGATGATTGATATTACTACGCAATATGTGGATTAGTGTTACCAAAAGTAAGAAACTATAAAAATTTAGGAGTCACACTAAGCAATGATCTCAAAACGACTAGCCACTGTAAGGCTGCTGCTGCCGCAAAAGGCTATAGGGTATTATGATCTATTCGTAGATCTTTCCGGTATGTGGATGAGGAAATGTTTAGATCATTATACCCAACTTTCGTACGACCACATTTGGAATATGGGATTCAAGCAGCCATTTGTTTCAAATATGAGGCGGATATGTTGGAACGAGTCCAACGCCGCGGGAAAAAAGGTAAAAGGTCTATCTGGCCTATCTTATGAAGACAGACAGACACCTCAACTTATTTCCGTTATGTTACCGGCGAATACGGGGTGATCTAATATTGGCATATCGTATCTTGAACGATGACCTTGGTACTAACATGTCCTGTCTTTTCCTTCCATCTAAAGCTGAACATTTGAGAGGACATTCGAAGAAAGTCCAAAAACCGAGATCAAATCGTCTACGTCTGGAGTTTCGTTTCTCGCACCGAGTAGTGAATTACTGGAATTCTCTACCAGAACACGTAATATCAGCACCTTCTGTTGATATATTCAAGACGAGATTGGACCTCCACAGTGTAATAAACTTCAAGGATTAAAACAACTCAATAGACTTCCTATACTAATTACTGAAGACTGAACGCCCCTAGTGTGACCTTGGCAAAATTTTCTTACCACGGTAGAAATAGGTTTATGAGTTAACGAGAAAACAAAATCAGGATTTGGAGTTAGAAATTAAGGTTAGGAATTAGAGTTGGAGTTCTCATCACCAGGTGGCGTAAGCTGTAAAGCAGAAATGCTATCTAGTCATAAGTATAAATGAGTTTCGCGTCAAAATCGAAGATTTGTTATTACTAATGCCCAAATGATAAACAATGTCATTCATATGAATGGAAAACATAGAGGATGAGAGGCAATAATAAAGAGATAAATAGCTAGCATATTTTCCCATGACATTTGAAATTTCTTGGTAAATATATGATGTTATGCCGATGGTAATATTGTTATTAGCTTGTAAGGTCGTATTCTTTTTCTTCAGGTCATTGTCGTCCGTACTGGGAGTGTGTTAAACTTTATTTCAAAATATCGTGTTCATCAATTACTATTTGAATCATCTCTACGTTTACACTAACCTGTAAATTTGACCTTAGTATTAACGAAATTTCCTCAGTTTTCCGTATTCAGTGCATTTCGTCATTTCTACATGATTAGTTAGTGATGTACTGATTGCTTCAATGCTAGCAGTTGTGTTGATCCTTAATATTTCAGTGTGACTTGTCAGCATTTATTCTATGCATTATATTTAAGCAAGAGTCCTATTTTATGTAACTTGTCTGTACGATATGCTTGTGTTTTTCGAAAGATAAATTCACTTTACTTGACTGTTCGAATAGCTCCAGTTTTCTTTCCGAACATTATTTCTAATGTAATAGATCTACCAGATTAATTAACTGATAGGACCCGGGTCGATAATAAAAACGTTAATTCTAGAAAGATCACCTAAAGCAAATCAAATGTCAGTTATCTATGGAAAAGTATTTGTTATTGAAGGGAAGAAAGCGTTTGGATGTGAATTGTTGTTCCATACTTCGGACAATCCCCCTTGAGGAAATCCGTTTTAAATCCCTATTGTTTTGCTAGCTCTGTGCAACAATTTTTTACATTTATTTGTAGATGTCCGTTTCAAAAGGTGAATATAGTCCGTTCTCCTCTCAGTGGGTCAACCGAAAATTATATACGCTCATGTTAGTCATATATACACCTAGTGAATTGATCACTGACTCTCCATTAGTCATTGACGATTCGGGATCTGAAGTAAGCGATCCAGATGTTTTGCGATTCCACTCTTGTCTTTACCTTTAATTTTGTTGATCTTGTCAACATACTTCACTTTATGATTTCAGATCGATTAAATTTTACTCCCTAGATGGCAAAATTTACTGAATCGTTTATTCCACTATTATATGGTTGGAGTTGTCTTCGAAGTGCTGTCATTAGGTGTGCGTTAACCCCTTAGTATAGAGTTCTTACCGTATTAATCAAAATTAAGAGCATTCTATACATTCCTGCGCATTTAAAACATTTTGGTCTTATCGTTCAGCTGCAATATTTCTTTGCATTATTCATCCCTCCCTCAATTTTTCCTTAGAAATACAGTTAGTTTATTACGCCTAATTTTCGTCTTGAATATGTCATTTGGAGGGTTGGTTGTTCTATTTAAGTTTCGTTTGGATGACGATTAATATTTAAATGTTTGCTTGGCAATTCGAAGATGGGCCGCACAGCATGGATCATTCTAATGATAATCATTGCTAAATATGTCATAATAATATTTGGCTACTGCTACGCACTGCAAATTGTACATTTTAAAAGCGGTTTATGATTCTTGTTTTTGTTTAAAAGTGGTTTCGTAGTCAGTAGGGCAAAACTACAGTTATCTCACATAGATTAATCAATTCTCACCTCCAAATACATGTTTACGTATGGCCTGATTAATGGTTGACAATGGTCTTGTCTGAGCATTTCTAAGCACTTTGTTCCTAAATTCGTTTTAATTAATTAGCACGTGCACAAAACAAGATCATCCGTTCTGTAAATTTTTATTCAACGGTCGACAATGGTCATCTACGAGAAATAACTTGGCTATGCACACCGTACATTTCTCATTACTCAGTTCGTCCAGTGTTAAATTAAAGCATACGACCTTCTCAGATAATTTAAGCGAAAAAGCATTTCCATGCAATCAGTTCCTCGTTGTCTCTGGAACAATATATATTTAATGATTGGGAATAAAATCAATCCCAAACAAATGATAGTGGATCAACTTGACTATGTATTTGAATATTTTCTTTAAAAATGACGATCGATTTGTAAGTCAACGGATATAAAACCAAAACCGAAACAAAATTACATAGTCTTCTAATTATTGCAGATAGTGGAGTAGGAATAAAAATATTAATTGAACAAGTATGAAACTGAGCAATAGATCTCTATCAAAAACCATAGACAAGATTCAAGAAAGGAACAACAAAAAGACAGCAGTTAACAACAGCCGAACAAAAACAGACAAAGTCAAGGCACAAGCTGAATACACAAGAGCAAACAAGTAAGCTAAGAAAAGCAGAAGTACGTGGAAGACCTGGCAATGACAGCGTAAAACGCTGCAAGAGAAAAAATATGAAGCCACTATATGACACAACGAAGAAATTGGCAGGCTAATATAATAAACCAGAGAGGCCGGTCAAGGACAAAGAAGGGAAGCCAATCACTGAGATACGAGAACCAAGGAAAAGGTGGGAAGAGAACTTTGAGAAACTCGCGAGCAGCCAACTCCATTGAATCCACCGGACAGCAAAACAACACCTAAATATATATATATATACTACCTACTTGCTTTTCTAGTAGTCAATCTATGGATACAAAAATTGTGGGTTTATTTTCTACGAATCTGTTTTAGAAATTACGAATTCTAGTTCACCGTGGATAATCATTATCATGTCTTATTTAATTGCTTACGCCTGTCATCCCTCGTCAAAGAGCACATGCCGCCCATCATCATCCTCCATCCAACTCTGTCCTGGACAATCCTTTCCAGTTGCTATTCATCCTTTTCATGTCTGTTTCCAATTCCCGATGCAGTGTTCTTTAGTCTTTCTCCTTTCGTTTTCCCTTCGTGATTTCAAGTTAGCGCTTGCCTCATGATGTTGTTAGGTTATTTCGGCAATATATGTTCTATCTACTTCCAGCGTCTTTTCCTAATTTCCTCTTCAGCTGGAAGCTGGTCTGTTCTCTCCCACAGAGGGCTGTTGATTGTTCAATGATGATGCGTAGTGTCGCGATTTGGTCTATGCACGACCGATCCTTATGAAATCCGGCCTATGGATCTGGAAGCTGGGCGTCTACTGCATTTTTCATCTGGTTCAACAACACTCGAACATTTTTACTGATATATATAGTAGTGTGATGCCCCTATAGTCCTCACACTTGCTCAGATCTCCTTTTTTTGGTATCTTGATGATGTATCCTTCTCTCCATTCGTTCCTCTTTCCTCATCTTTCTGAACAGAACGTTTGCAGTTACTTCTATGTCTGACTTCACTGCTTCAGCTGGTATATTGTTAGGTCCTGCTGTTTTCCCACTCTTGATTTGTCTGATGGCCATGCAGATTTCTTCGATCATTAATGGAGTGAAATCTATAGGAATGTTTGTGTGTGTTGCTTCGATGTCCGATGGATTTAATGGTGCTGGGTATCCACGAGTTTCTCAATGTATTTTACCCACCTGTTCTTTTTGGTACGTCTGCCTAAAATATCCGCTTATACTAACTAGTGGCTTAATGAGTGACATCGTGGTCCTTGAGTTCGTTGGGCTATTAAAATGTTAAAATTGACTAATAAGTATCAGAAAAAATAAGGATTGTTTAAATAAGTGGATTCCATCGACCTAATTAGTGTAAAGGTAGGTTTATATGGCGTTTTGTTCCTGTAGTTCAACATTACATGATATACGCAATGCTATTTATTTCTTATCAATTTATAACACCATACTCAGGTTTTACGGATAGCATCGTACTAATAAGTTGAAAGTTATTCATGTAAGTTCTCACTTTCTTTCAGTCTCTGGCTTAGCACATCCATTATTTTACACTGTTGATGAATATCCATCCCGAAGTCCCCGGGCCGGTTGAGTTTGAGACTGTTACTTCTCCCTGAAACTTTTCAGTATTTATTTCGAGACAAACCACAAATAACCTCAGCGTCACTAATATAACTAATTGACTTAATAGTTCATTAATATCCCCTTATGCTTTCTAGCTTTATTTTGAATAACACTAATCTTTTTATTTACTGTTGTATTATGTTTACTGTGTGTTATCTATCTGATGATATGTATAAGGACAATAACATTTATACTAATAATAATTAACATGAAGTTGACATATGAAGGCAGTTAATCTAATTTGTTCAATTATTTACTGATTGATTATTTCAGTTACCTGACTTAGAAATCTTTTTTACCGATTGGGAAAAGAAACTGTCATTTTCATTGAAATTTCATGTTATATTCCCTTGTTTTTATTATTTATATTTCTCAAATGCAGAATGTTATTTCCCTTTCTCGGATGAATTTTACGTATAGACAGGCGAAAAAATGTATGAAATTGTTATCTTTATTATTTTCTGGGTTATTCTACTGTCTTCAATGCATTCATTACTTTCATTTCTGTTAATGTTATGGTATTTTATGCAGAACATATTTTTTAACCATGCTGATGATTGGGTATTTTATTTTTATTTTGCCTGATAATTGGTAAATGCCGGTTTCTTAAAAATATTTTCGCATGCTGTATTTGCAACGAATTTGACATGGTATCTACATTCGTGTAGCCATTTGAAAAGAATGGTTTTCCACCTTTTCTAGCCACAAGATTTATGGGAGGGTATGAAATAAATACTGATTTCAGCTTAAGAAGGAAGGATTTATTTATTTATTTAAACACATATATATTGGTACAAAAGGGCACCAGGTACATATGCGCCACACAAAATAATGAAAGTAGGAAGAGAAGGGATGAAAAGATAAGGCGGACTGAAATGTACAACCAGAAGACTCTTTCAGTTAGGAAAGTTAGAACCATTCTTTATGTAGAAAGTAAAAGAAGGTTGCAGCAGGATCGCCACTGGCTTCTATTCTGAGCCATATCTGATAACGTCTCTAGCCACTGTGTTGCACCATCTCTCGGACCCCAACCAGGGAGTCGTGAAGACCAACGGAAGCTAGCCCTTTGCAGCTTTCTTTCATTCCACGATAAGAAGGAAGGAAGTACTAAACTGTTAAAAGTCGTCTATGTAAAAGAAATTATTGACACTTGTGATTGAATAAACAATTACTAACCAGACGGAGTTACTTCTTGATTATAATGCATTCGAGTCATTGTAGCCGATCCTGAGCCGTGTCATCCAGTATCTTTAAATCATCAATGGTGTACATAATCGTGTGGACTTCAATCAAATAGTCTTCACCTACCAATATGGCTCAAAACAGCAGTCGGTAACTTTATGGACTGATACTATACTTTGCTTTGGAATTCAAATATTCTTTTTCTGTACAAATTAACAAGAATCAATCTCAGAATTCGGACCTATACTTATTTGATTACATAAATTTGTAGTAACAGCACTGAATTTCTTTTTACGGTGTATTAATTAATGCTTAGTAGTTTGAAACGAAACAATACAATGGGAGCTTCAAAAAAGTAAACAACGAATTATTTTCATTTTAAAAATTGTCCTTCTAGATTAAAGCACAAGAATCGATCACAGATTGCAATAAATCATGGTTACTTTTGGGTTTAAAGCAGAGTGGTTTCGGTAAAGGACGATGGAACGGATTTGGTGGTAAAGTTGAATTTAGTGATGCGAATCCCAAAGCTGCTGCACTTCGAGAGCTGAATGAGGAATCTGGTTTAACAATTAATGAATCTTCTGTTGACGAAGTTGGTCGTCTGTGGTTTACTTTCGCTGAGACAACGGAGGTATGTATGTTGTTTTGAATGGTCCATCTAAATTACATGAATTATTCGTTTATTGACTGAATTAAGCATCATGCATTTGCGTTGTTTAATCGAGTTAAGGAGGGAATAGTAACTCCACTGTTGATGACATTGAATGAGGATTGAATTACGTTAAAAATCGACTATCGTGCGAAACGTAAATCACTAAACTCCAACTTAATTGTTTAAAGTCACTGTGTTGGCTGTAAAACTTGAAGGTTCTTCGTCCAATGTTATATAGACTTCTGGAGACGTATTACTGAGTAGTCTTAAATAACAATGAAAAAAATTGACGTCAGTTTGATAAGAATTATCTAGTTTATTATTTTTGGTGGTTAAACGACGGTTGACATTATCGATATACTGTTTAGACAGAAATATACTTACTAAATTAATAAATATGAGCAAGAATATCAAAGCATTTAATTAAATCACATCTGTTACTGAGAATAATATTCTCAGTAATCACGGGTGAGGACTATTCATGATAGGACATCGCTTATATCACTATAAATTACAAACAACACAGTATTTGTGAAATGTTAATTAATGACAAATACAAAGTGTGAAGATCTGTCCATCTGGCGTTGTGTTTTATGCGTATAGGACCAATACATTTTTGACTTTTTTAATAGCTTATCAAGCCTTTGACTTTAACATTGGAAGAACGGTACGAGAACTAACACAATAATTTCGAAAACTTAAATACCACACGTATATTCTTAGTATCGTATTTCATCCACATTAATTGAAAATATCAGCCAAAGTGACAGATCGTCAACTAGGAGTTTCGTGATGTATTAAGAGGATAAAATTAGTTAAGGATAATCTAAGTAAGAAGTTCATCAAAGACCTAGACGGATCCAAATTATTCCTTGCCTTGAAGTCGGTATTAGTAACGGATTGAAATCAAGTGGGCAACCACTAGAAACCAGAGAACATTGAACATCTGTTTTGTCTTATTAGGAGGACGTCGCTGCTATTTTCAACAAAAGTCATGCTTTTAACACTGGCGTTTACCCAGTGAAACCAACAGAATATTTAACGGACCTGCGGATGAGTTATTTTTTTTAACGCCACCTTGTGCGATTGATGCAACGCTTTCAAGATAGTTTGAATACCTTTAGATCAAAAACCCTTTAATGTTCGAGAACTTCTGTAATAGTCCACCTGACAAAGTAACGTAACAACTTAAGTACTCAATGTTTGTGATTACTGACACTTATTCCTCGAGGTCAGTTTTTTCACAAGCATTTTGTAAGCTTTCTGCAGTTTGTTTCATAAATTTCTTTTAAAGTAGTTATAAGTTTATGCATCAGATAAATTGATCCAATAAAAATTTCTGAAACTTTAAAAATGATTCGTGGAAGCTGCATTCTATAATTCTTAAAAACTCCGAGTAAATGGTGAAGACTCTTCATCGACATTTTATTCAAGATGATGAATTTCCTTTCTTAACCAACTGGGTGTTTTGAATATCTGAATACCACTCTTATACCAGTAGAACGGCTGTTTACATATTCAAACGATATAATTTCAATATATGATTATGCTAATCCTCATGGTCCTTCTCTAGAAAAAAGAGAACCTATCGCGGAAGCATGTCGTTTGCTAGGTACTGTATAACTACGGTTAACATAAAGATAACGGTTCTCCTGGACGATACTTTTCCACCGACTGAAATTACAGTTCAGCTAGCTGTTTATCCATCACTGCATATATTAGTGCAGATAATTTTTGTTCTATGCAATCGGTCTTGCAATTTTGTGTGGGACTGATTTCACAGTTAGATTTGTTATTTTACCTCTAGTTATTGAAATTTTAAGATGTTTTAAGAGAGAGAAGGAGAAAGAGAGCAGTGTAATATATGTAACAGTAAACTGGAAATAATTTTTAATTTGAGGATTATTTATCGGTTATTTCCATATGTATGGTTGAGTGTTTACTATCAGTTGAACTTTCATTAGGCAGAAAACCAATCCCAATCTCACGGGGTATGTATTCCATCGGATCGACACTGGAACTGCTAAACTATACAGCTGACCCCTTTGCTTTTTCTGCTCTTTTTTATCCACATCATCAGCTGTCCCGTTATTTTATTTATCAAAGTAACATTGTGGGCGGAACTAATCGGAGATCTTTATTTGCAGTTAGATTTTCATAAATGATTTCTATTCGTTCATATTTAGTAGTCTTTTAAAGTGACTTTCTAGACTTACTCCTCCTCTTATACAAGACTTGTTATTGGGATATGAATTAATATTTCAGGTACTGTACGTTGTCCTATCTACTATCAAACTCCTTACTCATTTGTTCCTATACAAATATACAACTGAGCACGATAAACTCTACTTATGTAGCTGGATATTTTCCAAGCTTTTTAATTTGTGGGATCTAGGTTTTCAGTTATGTTGTCATGTAAACCCTCTGTTTGAACGCCTTAATATTATGTTTGATCATATTTAATAATCCCGGTAGTAGACAGAGACAGATGTTTGATCTTATTCTCTTGCTTCCATTTTTCTCTAATGGTTCGATAGATTTATGTACTCAATTTGTGATGAAATATAAGCCTAATTATGTTATACTTATGCTCAATATGAGCATTTTAAAACTATTCATATCGATCAGTAGGATAGCATAATCTCATCGAATTGATTTTCGAATGCCATATTGGTGTTTCACTTATACATGAGCCATCCATTCGAATTTATCCAATTTAGAAAGATGGATTTTCAGAATAAACAATCGTATCCACTTACTTCTACTAATGAAGTAATCACTTTATTCATTTTAAATAATAGACAAGTGTTTGTTGTGCCTATTGATCATACTGGTTACTTTTTTTTTCTTAAAATTTCTAAAAAAAATGTACTTGCACATTTATAGAGTATATAGTCGTCATTTATTTATTTGTTTATTATCATCACACGATGCTTCACATTATAAACAAGTGAGTCATATAATTTTTAACCGTATACAATTATTTTTCCCAATTTAATCAATAATTGGAAAGAATTAGTATTTTCCATCGTTTTTCTTTTCCACTCATCATACAACTAATATCATTCATATTTTGTGTATGTCATTTACTTAATATTTATATTATTATTTTCACTATCTTATTTTTCTTCCCTAATAATACCATATAATTATGATTTATTGTTTGCTTTAACCATATGAATTTTAATTAGGTATATTATAGTGTAGTTCTGTGGTTCTGTGTATTAATCATGATTTCAGTAAGTGTATTGTTTAGTAAGTTTAATATCAAAATATAGTAGTCTGAAAATAACAATATGTGTGAAGTTACTTAGTATTGTTTGTTTGAATCCTCCCATTGATGCTTAGGACTGCAACTGATCAGTCTCTTATTGGCATAAGTGAATTCAAACTTCACCCCATTACACAAGCAAGTAGCTATCAGGACTCAGTAGCTGAGTAGATAACGCGATGGTGTTTGAAGCGAAAGGCACTGGGTTCGAGCCCAAGAGTGAACATCAACTCTGAGATGCAGGTATATCCAGCTGACTGGTCCCAAATAGGACCAAACGCGCGTCCTGTATTCCACTGCTAGCCACTATCCATCTTTGTTTATATGTGAAGTTATTTTTCGTAGAAACAGTAGAATTTCATGGTCAATATACTTATATAATAACTAAATAGATGTAGCTTTGTAGTAATATGTGTAAATTACAGTCATTTGGTGATAAGACTAAACTCCAATCCTCCTCCTTTTAAACTTAGGCAACCGTATAGTAACACTAAACATCACAGAAAATGAAATATGACTCCAATCGAAATATTGTACCGAAGTACAGGATGCAAATGTTTTATGATGAAATGCCGAAATTTATTAGGCCTTAAGTAATTTTAATTTTTCAATCTGAAATCTGTGCTAAATAATGTTATTTTATGTCAACAAAAAACCGATGATCAGTCTCTCAACCACTAGGGTTATATTTAGACGAAGCTCATTTTTTCTCAGTGGTTCTTCCCATATATCTGAAATCAGATATCATAGTTGATCGTAATTTCAAATCACTTAGCTTATTGAGATTATTATGTAAACATTTACCAATGTATGTAACTAGACCAGTACTAATGTACTGATTTGTATGTAAATTAGTAACGAAATACTTTCAACTTTCTTTTTTCCAAAACACTGTACTTTGTATTTTCGCAAATCATTAATTCGTATAAAATTTTCTTTGATTAATTTTTGTACAAAAGAAACAAAACTGTTAAATATATATCATTCAGAGACGTAACACAATCTGCTCCAGTTATGTATAGAAATATCTTCACAATATTATTAATGAATAGACAAGATTAAAGAGAATGGATAACAATGTTTGTGTATTCAGTTGTGGTGCATTTTCCGGTAAGAGAGTCAGCAACCCGGTTAATCATGAATATAAAGTTGTGTACAATAATTACTAAAATTACAAAATCTTTATGATTCTCCATAGTTTCAGTGTTTAAAGATACCACTGACTTTCAAGTCTATATATCTTGATAACATACAATTCATTTGTATGAATCAAATTACATCTGCATGTAATGTATGTGTTCTTGATAACACAGCAATTAAATATGAGTGGATTAAGTATTTCTATCGTTGCATAGTGACTGCCGAAATTACGGCAAAGTTTTCTCTGTTCCATAAGTGTAGTGTATCAAGCACTTTAGGCCATTTTTCAATCTATTTATTGACTCAGTACAGCTTACCGCAGTGTAGTTTTCACTAGAGATTTCATTTCAAGCACTTATTTTTCCCATTTTTGTGTTTTTCTTCCGGCATGTTGAACTGTACTAAGTTGAACAAATCTTCAACAGATAGTGGTGTATAACTACAGAAGCTGTGAAATCCAACTTCAAAATGCACTATTCACCAATTAACTGAACAGAAAAATGGCCCAAAGTGTTGTATCCAACATACTTACTTGAAATTGAAAACCTGGGAAACCTCAATCAAATTCTATTTTATGTGACTTTTATTCACAAAAAACATATTTTCATAATGATTGCAATTAATTTCTTAAGGTTTCAATGAATTTCACATACATCACATGTTTCTCTATTATTTAGTACATCCATATTACAGTAATTGTTAAGATGATTCACAGAGTGAAATAATTATCCTCACTCCACCCTTGGAAACTAGAACTAAATAAGATTTGAAGAGAAATGACTAAGTGATCAGATTCACTATTCTATTAGTTTATTGTAAGAAGTAAAGGGGGAGTTTAGTTGTGTAGACAAAAAGGAATAATTGAATTGTTGCCAGACCAGCTTACTTTTCTCTGGTAAATGGGATTGTCAGACAATCTTTAGAGGGGTATGGTTTCATTTGTTGTGTAAGTGTGTGTGTGTGTTCAATTTTGTGTATTCTTACATTTTGTGATTAATGGAAGAAAATGTAATATTTTTCGAACTTTAATCAGTATATATATGTCACTTTGACTAGACTTTTGTTGCAAAGTAATGTGAATTCTTATTGTGTTCATATTTATAGTAGAGTTTGAGTGAGAGAGATAACAGTTGTACACAATCTAGGTCATTTATTCACTTTCAATAGGATAGATTAAGACTGAATCAAATTACAAAAACTCCACAACTTTTTTTACACAGTTGTCTGGTGAATTTTTACAAATAAACTTGTCTTCATTTTCTGATTGTCTGTTTACTAATCAATAAAGTCAACACCTAATCAAGTATATAAAAGAAAATTTCGAAGTTTATGAGGTTTTAGCTTGATGACCCGACGACCTGAACATTTTGATTGTACACTAGAAGACCTGTATCACTTCTCCAATTATCTGTCCGAAGAGTAGTCCTTGGGTTGCAGATATTTTGTAATTATAGAACATTTTTTCCCAACCCATATACCGAAAATTTATCAGTTTGATTAAAGAAGATGCTACTTACTGATTGCATTTCAACATTCCTTGCTTTGTTATAATTCATCTGATGATTCTGAGCATTTTCTATGGTAAAATTCTATGTCCGAAATCACGTTTAGTAGTCTTACTAATTATTCCGATGTCTTGTAAACGTTGAATTATCATATCAATAAAATTAGCAATAGGGCTATGTAGAGTTACCAATGGCTTGTTATATTATCTGACGACTGTAGTGATACTTATAACTAAATATATCTAATGGTTATTTACTGGTATCTGAGTTTTGATAATTAATCAAAGATGTTTCATTATTGGGTTGCGGAATTTTACCTTTTTTTAAAGTACAAAAAGCTAAAAATGTTCACAGTCAACAGAACTCTGTCGAATCCTCCATGCAACCTAAGATTTAACGGCTGGCCTTAGGTAGAATCTATTAGATTAACATATTGAAATAAATAAAAAAATACAAATTAGTCAATCGACTGTGACGATATTAGTAAAATAAATAGGTGGTTGTTATTTTCTGCTATCCAATACCATTGTGATTAGCTAGTACAGACCAGTTGGCTTCATGATGTTCTCTTTTCTATATTTGGTAGTAGTTTCCAATTTTTTGGTCGCTTCCAGTTGAATATTTCTAGAGTTTCAATAGTAGTAATCTCACGAGTGGGTAGTTTGATTTTCAGGTTAGTTTATTTATATGTTTCTTTAGATCGTCTCACTCACTAATTTCACTGTCAGTAGAGGCAGTTGTGAGGGACTAATCGTAAAGGATGTAGATTGCTCATTATGCCATGTACTGTAGAAGTCCATTATATAGCATTTATACTACTAGAACGATTCGATTGTATAAATCAAGTCTGCAATCTTCAGTTCAAAATTCGAACACGTATTTGACACATTAACCTGATAGGTTTTCTATTTACAGACAAATCAAGCAAATGTACATATCAAAAAAATTAGTTAGCACTAGTAATTTATACGTTTTTGGTGGTCCACACAATTTCTTTCTAAATGTTCTTATGGATTAAGTGTACTTTACTTCAATATGAAATAAGCTGTCATAAATTTATCTGAAATAGTATTAATTTGTTAGGAAATAAATACCTAGAAATTATCAATAGCTTATTGGTTTGTTGTTAGTTCATTATCTGTCAACAATCATTCATGAGTCAGAATACTGTTGATATTCTTCACTACATGAATTATAAGTTTCTAGAATTAATGATTCATTCACTATCTTTATTTCTAATGCCTTCTTATATCATAAAACAGTTTAATACTATTCCTAATGATGACTAAATTGGTAGACTTACTGTTTTTGTAATAGAAGTTTTCAATGTTTGCTCATTAAAAATAGTCTAACTTTCGTTGTATTTGATCATAGTATTCAATCTGAATTATTTACTGTCTGTTTGTTTTAAATATATCATCTTTGAATTGATTGTTATCATAACGAATGATATACTATCTTTGATACTTTACAATGCTACACAGAATAAAGTGATTTTAATAAGTCTACTTACGAGATATCAAATGATTTCTTTTATGAATTTATTTATAACTTAACAATTTTTAAATGAATTATTTTCAAGTGCATGGAAGTACATGTGTTTATCTGCAGAACATGGACACCTACACTTAATGGTCACACGGTTGAATGGCCTTGTTATACAGAAGAAATGCATCCAGCTTGGTTTCCACTTATAATAAATAAAGATAATACAATAAATACATCATCTTTACCATGGGAACATATGTGGCCTGATGATTTTTTATGGGTCCCTGATGTGCTTCAAGGAAATCTTGTTCTTGCCTGGTTTCATTATCTTCGACTTTCTAATCTGTCAACTACAAATAGTCAAAATTTAATTGACTGTTCCAGAGAAACTAATGGGATCTCTATTGACTTATATGAAATACCAGCTTATCATATGGAATATTTTACTATGGATGGAAATGAATTATTGTTTGCTGATAAAGATGTAAGTTATATGTCAAATCATGTAGTGTGTGGTCACCTACCTTGATATTTTATTATGACCAGAAGTATTATTCAGTAACTATGTTATTAAGGATTTTTTAATGATAACTTTGTGATTTAGGGACTCAAAATGTAACCATGAAATTAACAGCTCAAACTCCATTTGATCTGTTTGTGTTCAAACATTCGGACAGTAGTTTCACTAGCTCTGAGATGTTGGTGTAAATAAATATGTAAGTAGTTTATAAGTTCAATTTATCTTATTGTTTTACAAGAGTATGTTTTGATCTATTGTTTGGATAGTAGTAATAACGTGAACATATAACTAATTATAAGTTCAAATGTATGCAGTCGGCTCTGGGTTACACCTTTTACATGTGTATGTAATACGCACAAAAAAGAGGTCAATTATATTACTCGGTTGTCAGAACAGCGATAAATGCTTGAAGGGTTTGAATGTGGTTGATCATAAAATGTGATTCAATCACTCAGTGACTGCGTAGTTTAATTGAACTTTTTGAATTTCGTGATACAATTAATATAAACTGAGCAGCAATTGTTTTTATTTAAAATTCTCAGATCTATGCTTTAAAAATGTTGTTTGTAACGAACATTCCCAAATCACACAGTTTTATAGTAACTCAGATGTCTCAAAACGAAAAAAACTCAGGATAACTGATAAATAGTTTTCTACTACTTAAATGTATAGTCATATCTTCTCCAAATGTTTCTTTTAAACACTGTCCAAAGTGACGAACCATCACCATTCTGTAAACTATCTATACTGTTGCTGCTTTGAAATTTCTTGTTTAAATTCCATCTATTGGCAGTCTATTTTATTTCACTTTCTCGTTTGGATCTATCATGAATGTAAATGTTTGCATCTCACCTATCACTATCAAACAACTTTGTTCACTTTATTTTCTTCTTGTCTTATCTAAATACCCTTAGTTAGAAATATATTCAATTTTTTCAAAGGAAAGGTACTAGATTCGAGTCTCAGTGTTAATATCAACACGGGTGCAAGTACACCCCACTGACGAGATCCAAACAGGACGAAAAGTATGTCGTGGATTCCACTGCTAGTCACTGCCTAATTTCACTTAATTAAAACATTCTTATTTGTTAAAACAAAATTTATATGAATCAATGTAAACTTATCATTATCACTTTGCAAATAAGGGAATAAAAAATATTCTGTACGATCGTTACCAATCCAAATTAGGGGGGGTATTTTCATCATTTAACTTCCTCTCATTGAGTTTTGTTTTCACAATCTAATTATGTTTGTTTCAGTATTTATTCAATGTAATTAATGATGTTTCTTAGATAATCCTTGTAGGATTTTACTTGTAACTTCCCTTATTATTATTATTGTTAGTATTATTATTAGTACCAGCATAATTATTATTATATGAATGTCAATAATTGATGAGAATACTAATTAACACTAAAATAAAATGATTTTTCAGTTTTTGACAAAAATATAAAACTTAAGCTATTCCCTCTGAATCATGTCTAATTATGTGTATAGGATTGTAGAGTTTGTTGAATCGTAATTGAAATCATGAGCCCATCAACCTTAGACCACTATTGAGTGGTTGGTGCGCACTGCTGAAGAGTCCCATATAATTCTGTACTATTTCGAGAGAATTTTATGTGTTCCGTGACTAATTACATGTATGTCAATTCTTGTGTTTTTCTCAACCATAATTCGTAGTCAGGATAGGTTTCCTTTGTTCTGTCACAGCTCTATTTATTTCATGAATAGTATATTTTTGTTTGAAGTTATTAGCTTTGCTCAATTGACTAGATTTCAGTTGAATGGTTCTTTCTGTTAAAGGTTGAAGTCAATTTACAGATGAAACAAAAATTAAAATAACATTCTGATTGGTTGACTTTTTTGTTAAATTGAATCAAAGCAACTTTAGGAATTGTGTTGCAAGCATTGAGTTATTGATTGTAATTTGCATAGTTGATATTTCCTAATTTTATTCATTCTGAGTAGTCGGTAGTCATTCCTTTTCTTCTTTGTAATGAGTATCATTATAGATTTTCACACGAATATTGTTAGATCCATATTCCTCATTTTTGAAAGACTATTAATAAAGAGTTAACGGTCACATAGATTGGAGGTTTTATAAGTCTGTTTATTTGACCATAGCAATTGAATAACACTACTCCATTGAAATAGTCAATGTGTCTTCGTGAATATATATCTTTGCTCATGATCTTAACTATTAAAATTACTGTAATATCCACAGAACCCCTTCTGATATAAATGATCATGTGTTACAACTGTAATCTAGCATAATTGTGATTATATCCTTTTTTTAATCATGAAATCATTTGTCATTTAGTAAACGTTGAAAATGTTAAACTTTTTATTGGTGTAATATAATTATCTGTCTAAATTTGTTTTGTTTCATGAACATTGATTTATGTGAATGATTGTAGATTTTGTGATTAAAGTTTTTAGTATAATTAGTATAATTGGGCTCTGGTACGGCCGAGAGTGGGGAGAGTCCGCTCCCCCTCTCGGAATACTCTCACATGGCCACGCGTCTATAGCCTCTACCAAGGAAGTCCTACTCATTGCTTTCTCGAGGCACCGGTGTTGTTTATGAAGTTGAGAGGACAAAAAGTGAATGTTCGGCGCTTTAACCGGGTTGGTGGACACGGAAAGCTCACCTAGGGGAGTTGGAAAACCCTGATTCCAAACCAATGGTGCACATGGGTTCCAGTATCCTGAGGTAACAAATGGCGTATGAATCAATCATTGGTCACCGGCTACCTTGGGACTGCATCTCCTCACGATGCTCCACTGTCTTGTGGATCAGGCCTTTAGGTCAAAGGCTCCAGATGTGGGCCCCCCCAGAAAACCACGTGCTTCGGTTTGAGCACCCGGGAAGTATCACAGCCCTCACACAAATCAAATGAGATTTGTGTGGCGCATATATATCTGGTTTCCCTTTGTACCAATATTTATGTGTTCAAATAAATAAATAAATAAATTGAAAATTTAGAAGTACTGGATAGTTGTTTCATCATAATATAAAACTCAACAATATAGTTAATATAACTGACTGTATGAAATTATTCCATAGATAACAGAAAATTTATTGATTTTATAAAATTTATTTTGAAAATTTTTCATAATCAGTACATTTCTTTCTCTAAAAATTTTGATGTGTTTATACAATGTCTGTACACAGTTATTTAATAATATACTAGTTCATATGGTAAACTTTCATTTAAATGCACTAAATTCATCTCACTAACATCTTTTTATGTTCAATTATCAACTGTTGCCATATATATGATATATGATTTTTATATAATCAAGTTACTTTAAGTTACAAATAATCAGTAAGTTGAATTTATTTACCTATTTACTTACACCTATTGTGGTGTGAGCTACTTATATCGACATAAGTAGTATATATGGTGAGTAAGGAATAGAATATCCTACAGCAGTAGATTGAGAAGATAAAGAAGAAAAGAACAGAAGTAAAAAGCAATTTGTGTAGAAATCCAGGAACAATGAAGTCTGAGACAATTGAAGAACATTTTGCAAATTCAGTATCATATTATGGTTTTTGTATTTTACCAAGTAACGTAATTTGTACTAAATACATAGTTGGTTGTCCTCACCTGTGTTCTCATTCACAACACTATTACCTCTTGTGGAGGAACATAAGCCGACCATCAGAATTATCCATTAAACTCTGTCCTGAGCAATCCTTCTCAATTACTATTCTTTTTTTTAATGTTTGCTCAAAACTAAATTCACCTCAAAAATTTTGACATTCATTTAAATTATATTTTTTTATCTTTATTAAAAAGTGGCAAAAGAAAAAAATTGTACATTGACAACTTTTAAAAAAAGGGAATACAAATTCGCAACATTTTTGAACGTTGACACAGCAATATATTAATATGCACAAAAAGTATAGAATTGTTTTGTTTTAGTTTGTCATTTTAAATCAAAGTCATTTTTTTAATGTTTGTATGTTTGAATGTGTTGTAGAATTGTTTGTGAACATTTTCAAAATTCACTATTTGGTTTTTTAATGTTATCTCTTTACTTCTTCATGTTGTTTTATTGGATTTTTCTGTGAAATCTTTTTGTTTGTTTTTCAGAACAATTGTAATCTATCCAATCTTCAACGAATTATTGATCAGTTGGATTTAGATAAGAATGATCATAATTTGAGATTATGGATGAGTTCGTCATTGTATGATAATGAATCTGTTCTATCCCCTTCGATACTCAAGAAAATTTTACACTATCCCATTTGATGAAAATAATTTTATATTTTAAATTGGAGTAAATTTAGATAAAACTTATTTTGATAAATTTGTTTTGTCATTCTTCTTCTTTTTTTGACTGACTTAATTGAAATAAATAGCTATAGTAGTCATAGTATAGTGTTATTTGCGGTAGTAATAGTAGTATTAATGAGAAAATGGATTATTCAATTGATTAATTGTGAAAAACACTATTAGCATTGATTGATTACTTTTAATTGTTTCTACGATATCAGATATATATCGTGTCAAATTCTCATTTTAAATTTATCAATCAGTTTTTCTGATTATAGAACAGTGATGTATATTCATGGTCGAATCGATTTTAAATGCATTTAGTGAAATGGTCGTACGTTGTATAGTGTGCTCTTGAGGTTGTAACCCCTAGTGAAGCATAAGCTCTTAGTCAGAGTGTCAATAAAACTACATCAAATCTTATTGGTACGCGCTCGAATCTCCGGAAATGACTGCTGTACTTTCTTGACTAGTGCAAACTAACACAAAATCCTATATCATTTATTAAAAAACGACAGTAATTTTGAGGGAAAGCTGAATATTGGGTAGCACTGAAATCGTGAACGAGCGTTTCGTTTTGTCCGGGACTCACCAACTGGATTTATCTACGTCGCAGTGTTGATATTCACAATTTTAAAAAATACCTCGTAACTGACAACAATGTCTAGAAAACAATCACGATATGCATACGCCAAAAGTGACTGATCACCTACAGTTCTTAATACCATCAACAGAAAGAATTACATCCCCATTACTAGATTTTATGACTGTAATCGTTTTAAATCAGTTCAATAAGTCATAAAATCAGGCATATATGGACATATATACCGTAATTTTAAGAAAATCATTGTAAACTGTTAAAAGTTTTAACAGTAGGATGAAATAACTTTATCAATTCTACCTTTTTTTGGACTCAATGATTTATCATAAGTCTGCTGATAACAGTTCGTTTCATACATTCTTTTTCTCCATAAAAATGTTTTGTCAACCTTTATGAATGTATCCTTTTTTATATAAAGTTAATACGCATCTTTGCACTTAACTCAGCATGTGTTTTCTTATCAAACAAAAAAAACTTATTTTCCAATCAGCTGTTCAGCATGTATATCATTATAAGTAAAATACCCAACTGAGTGAATATGAACGATGCAATATGACAAGGTTTTAAATTTTACAACAAAGAATACGAAAATCAGTCGACTGAATAACATAACTGTTTGTTACTTGTTATCCGTATTGTCCGATCAATTTACTTCAAGTCATTTTTTAAGTATTTTTACTAAACTATTGAAATATGGAGGTAGCTCACCTGCACTATGATTATCTTTTCAACCAGGATGTAATAATAATTTTCGAAAAAAAGGCACGATAGATACATTTTTATTGCAAATAGATTATTTTCTCCTGAAATATACTTTCTATTTTACAGTTTCTGTTCATTTCATGGTTTAAGATAATATTTATCAGTTGCAGTGATGCTTAACATTTTCATTTCTTCTGTTCCTCAAAATAACTCCGTAAATAAAATTAGTTATATGCAATTTAATTTTCTTCTGAAAAATTAATTTTATCAGAAGGGGTTTTTGTGGAGATTTGGTATTTGCATAGTTGAAAGCACGAGTCAGTTGAAGCTAGACCACCAAGGAAAACCTGGAAGGCCGTTTCGTCCTATTATGGGACTCCTCAGCAGTGCACGACCTCGCCTCGTAAGATTCGAACCCAGAACCTGCCAGTCTCGCGCCAGAGCATTTAACCGATAGGAAGAATATATATATATATATATATGTAATCTTATTGTTGACGCAAAAGTAAACTTTTCGACATTTCTTTCATTCATGAAAACTATTCCCCATTTTCGTAAAAACGATTTATTAAATCAATGATTTTTTTCAAATGTCACACTATTTTTCCATTGTCAAATTATATTAAATGTTTCCACTTGATTGATTGTCATTTTTAAAATATTTCTCTTAATGGATAAATTGTTTGTACTTATCTGTAGAATGCTGAATAGTTATGTGATTTGATTCACTTGGTTGAAGTGATATCTCTGAAATAATTTGACAGAAAAATAATGATCTGAATGGTGGGTTTTTGTAGGTTATATTGCAAACATAATTTTTTATGTTAGATCAAGCAGCTTCCTTAAGCATCGTTGTCTATTATGAAAAGGTATCCATTTGTCTATTGAAGTATGTTGTTTACGAAGTACAAGGTTATGTACTCGAATTTGGGCTACATATTTTAAATTTGAAGTTGTGTGCAAACGCGGGTAGATGTAACTATTTTTCAACATGTTATCTAATAGATACCGCCCTGTGACAAACATACATCCTTAATTATTCATAAATGTCAATAAATAGTGAAATGAATGTGTTTTTTCTCCTAATTTGACTGGGCTTCACAGTATCGTGGTTTTATAATGTTATATATTTGTTTCGGTTGGTTGAATGACGATGTTAAAAATAATTACTTATGCCAAAACTACTAGTCATAATTAACATGACTAATAGTCAGTTTTCGCTTCATTTGTATGTTTTTTTTACACTGCCTAAAATCTTGTATTCTCAGTCTAAGATTTTTTGCAGTTGTATTAGCGTAACTTGTTTATTCATTGTTGCCAAATTTCGCTATGTTACGTTGTACAGTGTTAGTACCTTTTTAGGTGAACCTGTCATTCATCTAAACGACAGCAAAATATATGCAGATAAGTAAATATTTACGTCACAGGTCAATGCAAACAGACAAATAATGGGTATGTTTTCACCTAAGAAAGCATCAAAATTCTAGATCAAAGAATTTTTAAAGTGCTGAAGAACTATTACTATGGTATCTCGATCAATCTACAGTCGATAAATATATTGACATATATCTAATCTATTAGTTTATGTAAAGAAGGTCAATCAGGTTAGATGAATAAGACGGTCAAACGTAGTACTTAGATACATGAAAACTTCAAAGACAATCACCTTAATCATCAGAACAGATTGATCTAACATATTGAAAGCAACTTTGAAAAGCTTTTGACAAGGGCACTGTTGATGTTGAGAATAGTGTTAAAGGCTTCACAATCAAATCAGTGAGTTTAGAGAACCATACAACATCAAAAACCTAAAGTTTCAGTGGAACATACATCTTATCTATCTTACCTATGTCTAGTAAACTTGAACTTGCGAGTATGTAATGATTTTATTCTAATTATTGAATTCATCAAAAACTAGTTAACATCGACTATCCTATTTGTTTTTAATTCCATGAATCCTTCATCATCTCTAAAATTATCACACATTTGATCTTATCTATCTCTGAACTCTAATCAACTATTACACCACCCATCCTTTATGCTTCTTTGATTCTAACACCTAATAACCTTTGACCTTTTTTGCGTATATATATATATCGTTGATAACCTTTTGTCATTTCGATCTTTTAGATTCACTTATGTCAATTGTTCCACACTATTTATTATCTCAATGCTGAAATTCTAATACATATTTGGTTGTAAGCAGCTGACGAGAAACCACGAAAATAGAATTAATTCATATTATTCTGCATCAATATTTGTTCTGGCTTTATTAAAATTAATAAAGGGGACTAATTGCATGAAACATAACATCTACTACTTAAAAGAGTAATACATTCTGGTTTATTTCTTTTATTGTTCACTGCAAAATATTGATTTCTTCACGCACATTCATTTTTGCCTTATTTTTAAAGTGCTTCCATTTTTGTATCATTTACCTTTATTTTTCAAACAGAAAAATTAGTAAATGGAATTTCAGTCAACCAAATAACTTTTCGGTTCCGTTAAGAAAAGAAAATTATATTTAGTTCTGTCGTTAGGCAATTGGAAGTAGTAGTTTGTTAGTGGTTTGATCTGTATCCTTAAGTAAGTTAACATAAGAACATCACGGAAATAATTACATGGAAAGTAGGGCAATTAACAGATGACTAGAGTCTCATATCAGCTAATTGTCATATTAATAACTCTGAACTACTACAATCCTTCAGTTATCTTCGTGATAAAATGCAAGTGGTACTGTAATGAACAGAACACGACTGGGGACAATCGAATGTATTTAAGAAAACATTACAGACTATCTCGGTAAATTCTGATAACCAAACAATGAACAGTCAATTTGCAAATTAACAACCAATTGTTTCTATCTTCACTGTTTCTTCTCTAATTCCATTGCTCATGCATTTTCCAAACGATTGCGCTTCATTCCAGTTCTTTCCTCATCGGTCTTCTGCGAAAATACATTCTATGTCTGACCCACACCATATACTAATATGGATATAAGCAGACCACACCACACTCGTCCCCCCTTTAAAGCATTCGTTCATGCGGTGGTTCTGCTCGCCATGCTACTATCTTCTTTCACTGCAGTCTGTGCCAAACTCTCCGTCAGAATGTCGAGTCTACGGCGCGCTGACCTCCATAGCTCCATCGACCTGCCGGGGCACCAACATCCGCATCCACCCGGCACCTGGGACGTTCAACATCCGTACTACACCGGCCTGCTGAGCCATCTACATTCGATGTTCGCCCAGCAGCCGCACGTGTGATGTGGTCTACTTATATCCATATTAGTATATGGTGTGGGTCAGACATAGAATGTATTTTCGCAGAAGACCGATGAGGAAAGAACTGAAATGAAGCGCAATCGTTTGGAAAATGCATGAGCAATGGAATGAAAGAAGAAACAGTGAAGATTGAGACTATTGGTTGTTAATTTGCAAATTGACTGTTCATTGTTTGGTTATCAGAATTTAGTGAGATAGTCTGTAATGTTTGCTTAAATACATTCGATTGTCCCCAACCAGTGTTCTGTTCACTACAGTACTAGATGTAAAGAAATCTTAATTTTGGTAAATAAAAGCTCCTAAGTGAACAACTTCACTCAGAGACGAAGCCTGAATTTGTAGCGTTTATCACAGTTTTAATATGCTAAACTAAGTAGCGAATTTTAAAAACATACAATTTGCAACAGTGTAACACTCTTGTATGACACTCGAAACTTTCATTTCGTTAACTGATGATCATTTTTGAATTACCACAACTTGTGTTTTGTGCACCCTTGTCAGATCGTTTGAAATTCGCAAGTTCTCTTAAGTTAAATCTGTTTTAATTCAAATATTAAAGAAGTATTTCTTGGTTCCACGACATTGAAGATAATGTCAGTCTTAGCTCAAAATATACATCCATTCAAATACACAAACCTATTTTATATTAAAACAAAATATAACCATTTTTCATGATGTAAAAAGTTCTGAAATTGGATTTCCTTCGATTTTAAGATGATAAGAAGGATAGATAAAAAGTGAACCATAATCCTAGTCTTTACTAGAACTTACCTTTCACCAAATTTTCAACCTGTGTACTGAAAATATTTACTTTAAAAACGCATCCATTGAATATACTGAACATTTATAGAATGTTTGGATAGTGTTACGTTTCCGTTTCTGAATAATATGTTTAGTATTATTTAGAAAAACAAGTTCAAAGATAAGTGAAGATTTTGGATCTTTCGAGAAATTTCTAAGGGAATCTAATATTTTAATTTGAAAAAAACTGTAAGGCTAAACCCTAACATTCAAAAGAAATAGGATATATGAAGGCTGATTATTAAATTTTGAATACTAAATTTCCTCATTCTGAATTAAGGGTGGATTGTCTAAATCATCAAATTTAATCTATATGTACTTTATCCACCTGTAAAACTAACTACATAGACTGTACAAATTCATCAGACAGCACTTTCTAGCTTAACTTGGTGAGGACAGTAGAACTATGAAAACATTTATTTTGTAACATACAGTTAATCATAATGATAAAACAGCCGAAACTTTCTTTGATATTATTCGTTAAATAAAACCTAATACGAAGAACCAATTACACTTGTCTCTTTTATTCAGGGAGGAAAATATGTGTGTATAGCAATGGTAAACTATTTTTATAGTATATCATATTCCGCATTTCCTTCTGAATTTATGTTTCCTGTGTATATTGCGTATACCAACTATTAGTTTCTCCTCAATTAATTATTCATATTTTGAAGCAATTAGTCCCTTTGATAAATTTCGATAGTGCAATAAAAACACGAAGATTACCAGAACTATGTGATATATTAGCGCAATACATTTCGAACAATCTGATCACACATATACTTGTTAAGAACATTTATATATAAAAATAAAAGGTCAAGTAGACTGGAAATGGGGAGTAAGAGTAGACAAGCATAATAATAATACTAATGATAATAATGTGAAAACAATTTGACACCTAATCACTCTGGCTAATAAGTTAATATTACCAGGTTAGGTTTAAGGTGAGAACAAACTGTTTTTGAATACACAAGGGGGTTTGAATTTTCGTATGGCTAAGGCTTCAATACGCCCTTTAACACTTTTATACAACACCACAAAAGCCGAGTTAAGATCAGTCTTATGACCTATTTCGATTGTGTGTTTGGCAATAGAAGATAATGGATTTTCATCTTCTACACTTATCGGATCGTTTGATTCTAATCAGAAGGGGTTTTGTAGAGATTTCAGTATTTTCATGGTTGAAAGCATTAGTCAAT